GACCTTTTAGCCTGCCCCTCCTTTTTAGCTCTGTCTTTCAGTTTGGATTGATGCTCTCTCATGGTCTTCCCCGTGTTTACAGTAGGGCCGTCGGGCTCACTCTCCATGAAGGGTGAGGACCTTGGCAATCCCAGGGGACCATGGAGAAGACTTGCTGCTTCTTTGGATCAAGACGAGCCAGCTGAGGTGGTTCAGGCATCTCGTTGGGATGCCCCCCAGACACCCCCCGATGGATGGCCCACTGTGATGAGACCTCGGGACACACAGACCCCGCACACTGGAGGGATTATATCTCTGACCTGGTGCAGATGGGGTGGAGGAGGGATACAATAGACAAATGAGAAGGAGAGCAGAGCTTACGTATGTTTTTTTTTTACCATGAAGGAATGTCGATAGGAATAATTACAATTACAACTCAGCTGCTCTCCCTCCAGACTTCTGGTGTCAACTAATTTTAAAAGGGAGTCTTATTCAGCTGTTTCTTAAAAGCAACCTCAACATCAAGGATGAGTACCTGCTCCTACAGTCCCACCTCCTTTTCTCAGTCTTATGTTGTCTGGTTTGTGTTTCACTCTTGATCTTAAAGACTTCCAGTGGGTTTACAATCTCAATAATTTTAAGAATTCTGAATGCAGTGAAGTCAAGCTTTTGTTAATGAGGCACTGAAATATTTGGAGAGACGCAGTGTAGCCTGGCCAAGTAAAAGATAGGGGCTCAGAGAAGATCCAGCTATACAACCAATAGGTGAAGACTGGGTGTTGTGGGGGCTGCAAGTGTCAGAGGTGAGAGAGGAATCTACAACTGCTCACAAGGAGTAAAAGATACATTTCAGGATGTACAGTAAGTACATAGATTATTTAGATATAGTGAAATTTGACTTAACCTGCTGGCTGAGGTCTAGCCCCCTGGCTATAGGAAGAGGAGGAGGGGACCCCCTTACAGAGTGAGGTGTGACCAAAGCGCAGCTACAGGCAGAGAAGGCCACATGAGAACAAGTGCTTATATATTTTTTTTAATAACAGGAATAGAATCTGCAAAATTATCATGCAAATTATGAGTAAATACTGGAACCTGTTTCAAAACATGTTCAGAATGTTCTCATCTATAGTGGTTTCACTCCAGTTCCACAAGTACCCAGTCAAAATGTACAATTGTGAGAGATTGAGAGATCAAAGTGAGAGATCTTATTAAGTGAGAGAACTTATTAAGTTTCTAGATCAATGTCCTTTAAACAGACATGTGGCTGAAGTAGATTTCCCAGGATTTTGTGGAGAAATGGATTCACTGAAAGACAGAATGGAATCTCCAGCATTTAATTGCGGAACTGTTTCATAAATATCATGCCTTATGTTCTTCACATCATCACTTTCAATAACCACTTGTTCAATTGATGGTCATGGTGGTCTGGAGCCTATCCTGGGAAGTATTGTGCATGTGGCAGGATATACCCTGAGTGGGACACCAATCCATTGCAGGGCACAGAGACACAAGCACACATCATTTCAGGGGCAATTTGTTACAGAAGCCAATTAACCTACCTGTATGTTTTTGGATTGTAGGAGGAAACCAGAGAACCTGGAGGAAACTCAGGGAGAAAATATAAACATATACCTGTACACAGATTACACCCCTGGTACAGAAATGAACCCAGAAGCCCTGCTCTATGTGGCAGCAATGCTAATCACCATTTGTTTTAGGATGGTTGGCCATGGATAGATGATGATGATGATTATTATTATTAATGACCTTTCCAACTGATTTACCCACTTCAAGGTGGCGGGGGAATCAGAGCCTATCCCATCAAGCTATGGGATAAGTGGTATAAAGGGTGCGAGTCTATTAACCTACCAGTATGTTTTTGGACTGTGTGAGGAAAATGGAGCACACAGAGGAAACCCACAAGAACATGGGGAGAACATACAACCTCCACACAGATAGCACCCCAGGTTCAGAATTGAAATTCTCTCTAACCACTACATCACTATGCTGCCCATTATTACCATTGTTATTATAATCATGTTTGTTACTATTATTGTAGTTTTAAGCTTTTGATAAATGAACCAGTGTACATAGCTGTGGTGCCAGCGGGCAGTGATAGGAGAGAGTCTGTGTAATGTCATGTCTGCTTGTCTCCTTTCTTCACCTTATGAAAGGTGAGAACAGGAAATATAGCCTCTGAACTCTGACATCAGGAGATTACAGAGTCAGTATACTGAGCTGTGACTTACTCGATATCCTACATACTGGATCCCACAGCTCTGTTTAGGCCTAGTAAAGCCCTGGAAATCAGTCTAATGCTCACAGTATTTTAGTGCTGTGTACCACTTCATGTTTTTCCTCTTCTCAGCTCCTGTGCTCACATATTCAAACAGGAAAGCATTCTCTTCTCAGTGTGCTGAGGGTGCAGATCCTGCCTATACAATTCCACCCTGACCTCTTCCACATACCCAACTCACACTATACTGCAAGTTCCTGCCTGTTGCTCTATACCCAGCTGAGGAATTTATACTCTGCCTTGTAATCAAGCTGGAAAATATGTAACTCAAATGTTAAGACAAAACCAAAGGATTATCCATCCAGTAATCCATCAACAGATCAAAAGCCTGTTTCCTGCAATGAACTCAGAGGCTACTCTCCCACACAGTCTGCATTTTCTGATGTTCTTAGCTCTAAGAACATTTATATAGTCCTTCCTTTACACTTATAACTCCCTTTATAGGGAGTTTTGATGGGAAATGAACTAATGGGATTTTAGAAAGTTTAAGATTAAGTACTTAATTAGTACTTTCACTTCTGGAAAATTGTCATAGTGCTTCATAGCTTCAGTCAGCTTCAGGGAAACTTTTGTGTAATGTCACTCCCAATCTCAAAGTGAAACCTTGGAAGAACCCCTTTTTGAAATTGAGGACTTTTCTAAAGTTAACTTCTCTCAACAGGAAAAGCATATTTATTAAAACGGCACTATCTTGAATTAATATGCTAAAATTTGCCCTGTTTTATTGTCTTCTGGAGGATGAAAAATAAATTTGGAAAAAAAATCTAAAATAATCTTTCAAGGTATCAATTTATGAGTCCTTATTATGTCTTAAAGGAGCATTTCTATCCAGAGACAATATTGGAATAGGAAACAAATTGGAACTGAGTGAATTTCAAAAGCAGAAAGTATTTTGGACAGGAACAAAAAGGTCATCCTTTAAAAGCTAAATGATATCAGCTCAAGACAATACTTGTGTGATAAATGTTTTCCTAGACGTTTTGCAGGAAAACATGAAAGTTATTCATTACAAGTATGTGAGGACTGGGTGGCACAAAATCTAATTTTGAAGGATATCAGGGTTCAGTGTTCTTCGAATTTTGACAGTTGAATTTCCAGAAGACCATTTGTTTGTGACGTAGAACAGGAAAGGTTTTTGCAGTAGCTGTCCACAACTTATTCACTAAAACAAGGTGCTGAAGAACTTTATCAGCAGCACAATTCTTTCAGAAGAATGTGGTGAGCAGTAACTATGAACTGTGTAGTTAAACTGAAAATACCAACCACTGCCATTTAAAAAAGGGACTTGTGTCAGTCTGACTTCATGTCACGCAAGGCACATGCAACCACAAACAGGCAGGGACTATTTCTATGTGAGCGAAACCTTTTGAAACAAAATTACTGGTTTGAACAGGTCAGCATGTGGGAAATTAGACTGAAATTGCTTTCTCTGAACTCACAGCTCATTATATGTGGTAGAAAATCAACTGCCAGCTAAACACAGGACTTCTAATAATCTCCCAAAGCTCAAAAGATGAAGGTTTAGGATATTATACAGGTGTTAGAAGATTCTTACCCTACTCTGTTCCCAAGGAGGAATATGAATTTCCCTGGACTACTGCATCAACCCTACCAAACAGCAAAGCTAAAACTGTTGTTTTTGCTTTATAGTCAAAAGAATTAATATGAATGAAAGGTACAATGTATGTTTTGTGTTAAAAGGGGCAGCCAGCATTAATTATATGAATCTTGATATTTACCATATATTATGATTCTTTATCAGTCTTACAAAGATCTTGTCCACCCTAAGTACATTAATTAGGGACAAATTCAGACTTAAAAACTCACAATTGTAACAGTCAACTCAAAATGTAAGATTTAGAAAAGTTGAATCAATTTCCTTAAACCATACATGACTGTTATATTTGATCATTGAATTTTACAATGAAAACTTAACAATGTTTTCTGCTCAGCCACAAACAACAGAAACAAAATAATGAGGGGAATCTACTGTTGAAATAATAGACCAACATCTTTTAACCCAGTCAGTAAATGTGAACGATAAATTCAGCAGCAGTAACCAGTCTGTCTCTCCACCAACCAGCTAGCGAGGCTCTGAAATGCAAAGGCTTCATATCTACATTGCAAAGAGCGGTAAAGTCAAACCAGAAATGACTAATCACTCCCTCTTTCCTGCTCTATCACTCTCTCTCGCTCTGACTCTCATCTTTCTCATTGCTTCTCCTCTTATCTTCTCTCTTTGGCCCTGTGAGACGTCCCAGTGTTTTCACATATGAGAGAAATTTGACAGCAAAACGTTTACCGAAAGCTACTTTTTCATTGTCATCTTTTCTTGCAATCAGTTGTCCACAGCTTCATTCAGTTGTGGATGAAAGCTGATGGCAAATAAGTGACAGAGCAAAGTGAACGTTTTGTGAACAAGTTTGTGAATGAAGTCCAACTCACAAACTGTTCACAAAAAGTGAACTAGAGATAAAAAAGTCAAACTGGTAAAGAGGCTGGTGTCCTTTACACTTTGTCTTTCCATCACTAGAGAATGGACTCCAGCAGTCTTTAGTAAGGTGAAAATAACCTGAAGTCGGATAACACTGGTGAGGTAAGGGACGGGTTAAAGCCAACATCCCAGATTCTGTTTTCTCATCGGCTTTTCAGAGTCTCTTTTCTCTCATTCCTCTTCACCTCACCCCATTTCATCCAAGCTGCCCAGACTTTCACCCCTTCTTACCTCAGTTTCAGGTTCTCCATGAACTGCTCCATGTTCACCTCATCCAGGAGGACAAAATCCGACTTCCCGAACTCCAGACCCTCAAGTTCCGCCATCCCTGAGCCGGCTGATGAACAGACAGGCAGGCCGATGTCGGGACAAACAGACTAGCTTGCCGGTGCTTTGGCAGGGCCTCTCAATAAAGAGAGCAGGGCAGGGTTTCAAATCCTCTGTCTGTGTGAGCGCATGTGGGTGTGGTGTAACTGACTAACTGAGAGCAACTGACAGGGCTCTCCGTGAGCTATCAGCGCTGCGGTCACAGGCTGCTGCACGTCATCTTCCCACTGCTATGTGAGTGCGTGTGTGTGTGTCTCTCTATATGTACATTAGTTATATTGAAGGACTCAGAAAGTGGAGACAGCACCTATCATTAGATACTCTAAGTCACTTCTCTTTGCTTTTATTTCTGACTTCCTGTCATTGATGCTGTATCTCTAAGTCTGTTCCCAACAACAGTTTTACTGTGTGAAACCGTGACAGTACAGAGTAACACTGCACAGTAAGAGAAGGCACAGAATGGGTCTGCTTGTTCAACCTGGAGACCAGGGGTGTCAGAATCCATTACCTGAGAGCAGCAGAATCCTTTGGTTCTTATTCCAGCTTTGAATCAAAGTACTTGCTCAAACTGCCATGTTTACGATTTTCTCAGGGCCTGTTAAGGTTGCTTATTTAAAGATGCACTTGATCCTAGGCACCAAGAGTGAACCAGTGAACCTAGAGAGATTATGGGGATATGGTATGAATATTGCTAATTCCTCAAAGGTAGTGATAAAGGCATCCCAGTGGACTTCTTCAGGATCAACTGTGAAACACGAACCAGAGGACACAAGTGGAAACAATGTGGATATGCTTTTAAAATGTAGAACAGGAAGCACTTCTTTAACCAAAAGGGTTGTGGGGGTATGGAACAAGCTACTGTACATGGCTGTGTCATCAAAGTTGTTTCAGAGTAAGAAACCACTGGATGAGATCCTCGGATCAATTAGCTGCTAGAAACCAGTTCGGCCTCCTCTTCTCATTTGTATTAAGCAAACGTTTTAAAAGAAATACACCAAATAAATGAGAGTTTGGGTCTGGAGGCACTTTGGAAATGTGTCCCTGCAAGTCGCATGTGTGAGACCCAGATATAAGTGAGAGTTCATTCAGAACAAAAATGTTTCACAACCCCAAATGTGCTTGGTTGCCTGGTTACTGTGCTGTGTGGTGAACTAGTGGTTGTGGTCCTAGAGGTGAACCTGTATGACTTGGACCTGTGAAAAAAAGAGATAAATTAGGCTGATGACAAAACAATTTACTCGTGAAACAAAGTACAGTGTGTTTCATGCTATGTATGTGAAGAAGCCATAGTAAAATTAAGCCATCATAAAGCATGTTTTATCAGCAACTACAGATCTTTGGATAGTGGATGTAGTGCTTTAGCTGCAAAGATAACTGTTAAGAAGGCCTAAGACATGTTTAACCAACTAGAAATTTAAAAATAAGATCTTTCAAAAGCAGAAGCAGGGCAATGCAATGTCAGGTTAAAGTAGGACAGCTGACAAAGGATTTCTCACATTATTAAATATTAATGTTTAGCTTTAACAGAGATGGCCATGAGGAGATCTAATACAACTATTCAAAATCCTCAAAGGTATGGACAAATTTATGAATGATGTCTTAAGAATCAGCAGTAAAACACAAACCAAAAGACACAAGTGGAATGGAGAAATTAAATTAATACTGAGAACTTGAGGCACTTGTTTTACCCAAAGGGTTGAAGGAGTATGGGACAAGCTAGCCAGTCATGCCATTGAAGCCAATCCCCAGAATTCTTTCAGAAAAATGCCAAATGAGACCAATTAGTTTTTAAGCTAAGATATTATTACAATAATGGTCACCTCTAGTTTGTAATCATTCTTTAGTTTGAAAAAACACATATTTCATCTCATATATTTCAAAATGGTGGCACGCTGGAGAAACATTTTTATCAGGATTTGGGAGGAGAAATACTACACCTTCTAATACTTGAAAAAATTATATAATCTCTATCACTGCACTTTCACTGCAGAGTATAATTATCTTAGCTTAGGACGTCCCAAATAATGGGGCTACAGAAAATGTTCCAGAGGCATACTCATTAACACTGAATCCCTGTCTTCCTTCAGAGTTGTGTGATGAACTGCCATGTCAAAAAGGTGACACAAACCAGGTGCAAAAAGACAAGAAAAATCTCATGCAGAAGGCAGCTGATATTCATACCACAGAGCAGATGTGCAGTGGAGAAACTGGCCACTTCCACTACAGATAAGTGTTTTTTTAATATGGCATCAAAGACAGAGAAGGGCCCTCATGAATAAGGATAGGTGTTATGGATAAGGAAATTATAGCCTGAGACAAGAGAAACTCTTGCACACAAATAACTGTAGAACCAAATTAAAAAAAGAGCTGTGCTTCACTGGAGCCCAGTGTCTCAGGTTCCCTCATTTCAGGAAATGGATGAAAACTAATTGACTGAACCACTTATTCCACATCAGATAGCTTATCTCAAAAAGAATCTCAAAGTTAACAAACTTTCCACTATGTTGAAAGGTCTAAGAGAACTAAAAAATCTCTGTTCATCTCCGGATTAAAGGAACTACTGTATATGGAACAAGCAAACAGGCCTCTTGGAGTCCCAGTAGAGGCTCATCAGACTGACAGCATCCCCAAAGAGTGACTTTTTCTAATTTCCCACAAAACTTCAAGTGTTAGTGTTCTACTGGTGTGACTGTAAGAGGTTTGCAAGAATAGATACGAAATTGACATCAACAGTGAGATATTTAGCTACCATTTCTTATTAACACACACATACCACCAAGCTAATTATCACCCTTGCAAAACCACCCAGCTACCAGCTTTTCTGGTCCATACCAGCATATAAAACACCTCCCACCACACAGGTCTGAGGAAGGAGTGAGGGAGAAGCAACTACTTTATCTGCATACCCTGATCCACTGAACATCCTGTATGCTTGTTGTTTTATCTGCCAGACCTGCAAACAAACTAATCAACCTGAAATGAATTAATCAATCCTGAAAGATCAGTGTTCTGCTGTCCAACCATCATGTCGTGTCATAACTCACTCACTCTCCTACTTCTCTCCTCCCTCTTGAGCCTCTCTTCTTTCCCTGTCAAGAGATGGCTGCTCTTCCCCTCCTGTCTTCTTATCTCCCATTCCACCTCTAAGCTGTCATTCCTCTCCTGTGCTGTCACTCACTGTGCAGGCAATGCATTGGTGCCTGATTGCAGGTACTATATTGGGTCACTTCCTGTACACAGTCTGCGTAGCTGCGGTTAATGGTGACATCAGTGTTTCCTCTTTCAGCGTTTCCTATTCCATGACAGGGGAGCGGCAGAGCTGTCATTCTCCGCCTCTACTGTCACACAGCCCTGTTTCCAGACCGATCGTGGGCATCAGGGCAAAACGGACTGTAGCAGCACAGTGTACATGGTTCCATATTCTCTTAACCAAGACCATGGGTGGACCATGGCTCACGTCTTATCTTACAAGAGTAGCATAGTACCACGCATGGGCAACCTTGTAGCAATAACAGCAGTAATAATCTTTACATAGTGCTTTTCTGGATGCATTGTCTCAAGACACTTTACAAGAATGAAACAAAAGGGACAGCTATGTCCAAACTAATATAGGAAGTCAAAGAGAAATAAAGGCTAGTGTATAAAAGTGAGTTTCAAAACAGGATTTGAAAGTGCTGACTGAACTTGCAAGAATCCGATATGGGCTGGAAGATCAGGCTGTGAGTGGCAGAACACAGCATTGAAGCATTTTTTAAAGCAATAAATTAAATTTGTTCATGGGACTAGATGGATGAAATAACAAGTCATTTGACACTAAAAAGCTCCTACAAGTGAATAGATGTGTTTTAAAACAAGTTATAAATGCTGGCTCACACCTTAGGTTTCATCCTTTTATGTTAGTTAAACTGTATGGCTTTAATGAAACCATCTGTCCTCTAACAAAGTGTGATGGCACACTCCAGAGTTAGACTGGGTGTAAACTAGCACATCACAGACTCCACTGCCACAGTCTGTGAGCGGCAGACATGTCTGTCATGTGATCAAGCGTGAAGTGATCGAAGAGCAGAAAAACGTCCAGCATTTCAAATCATTGAAATCTGTCACTGATTTTGTATGTTCTAGTAATCTTAAAGTCCTAAACTTATCAAACACCTAAGAAGACTAAGAAGAAGCTCTTAAGGTAAGGCTTCCCTGAGTAGTCAGTTTTGTATATACGAGCAGAGATACTAATCAAACTAAACACCTGAGGAGTACGCCCACTCCCTCTTGTGCCTAAATAGTGTTATTACACCTCGGTTGGCCAGCAGCGTTTGGCTTTACTTATTCATGCTCTACACCTGCACCTTCCCTTTCAGTCATACAGCACAGCATAAAACTCCAACAAGCATCCAAGAGTTCAACATCAAAAACGGTTCTGGCACATAACTTACTGTAGGCATATAATCTCTATAAAGTATTTTACTGCATGGCATTGTGCTAAAAGAATTCTCTACATAGCTCATTATAGCTGTATCATGTATTGCAGGTCGATGTGTAAAAGAGCCCTTTACACGGATAAAATGCTTGATTAATTTTCACGCAAATCGCAGAACTCTTTTGACTGTGCTAATCACCAGACGCAAGCAATGTAGAAATACATTTTGATGGCACTCATTTTTTCAGCTTTAGTATTAAAATGTGTTTAACCTTTCACCCAGCACAGAAATGCCAAACGCAAAGGAAAACATGAAAATGCAAAATGGAAGTTTTTCATGGTAGAAATGGGGTTGGTAAGAAGGCAGCAAGGACAAGAAGGTGACAGTAAGTGAATTTTTAATAGCTCTTCTTACATTTGTGCAGTTCTGTAAAAAAGCTGGCAGACATGCTGGATTTTCAGACATGATCACTGTTGTTAACAGTAAAACGAATGTGTATGGGACTCACATTTTTCAATGCACAATGTGAGTTGCCCGTTTTGAGGTACTCCTTAGGCACAAGGTGATTGTTTTGTCTCAGCTGTGGTCTTGTTATGTGTTCTTGCCAATCACAAATAATGGAGATACTGGGGGAAAGTTTGCTTGCTTTTTTGCTTGTGTCCTTTAAAGATTCTACATTTTAATGTAATATTTTAATGTTTGTGATTACTGAAACAATTATTTGTATTTGTATCATTTTAGTTACTGTGAACACAAATGGCTACAGTCAACATGATCTGACACCTTTCCTGCCATTTTAGAGTCACTGAAAACACATCATGGACTATTTCAGTTTCTTTTTTCTTTTGTGGTATGCATGTTAAGTGTTGTTTTCTTTTTGTTTTGTTTCAGTTTGCATTTCGCACTTCAAAGCCCCTAAATTCTGAAGATTTCGGTACATATACTGAAAGGCTTTGAAACACACAAAAGGAGTAAACACTTAATTTCAATGAAGACTTTACTTCGTAATCTTAACATCAAAACATACAGCTCCATTGGTATAACATATGTAAAATATAATTATTTTCAAATGCGTAGAACAATGAGGCTGGATTATGCAATCCTTTTCCTTTAAAATGCCACAGATACTACAGCTAGCAGCTTCTAAACATGGTGCTGGAAACTTTAATTTACCTTAATCAACACCTTCACAAGACATGGTACAGTCTTCTTTCTATACACTCACTGAATAAAATATTAAGGCAAATGAGCAGCCTGAGTACAATCCATAGTCATCTTCAGGACAAGAGACAGACTTCCATCAGCATCTGATTAAGCCCTGAACCTTAATCCTGTTGAAAATTATGGGTTGAGCAGGTCAGTCCCACACATCATTATTTTACTGAATACCGAACACTCCCAATCATTTCTGAAAGCTGCCTGAAGTGTCTTAAAGTCTTGTGGAATTCAAGAAAACTGTTCATATTTTTTAACAACTTGCTGAGGCTCAGCATGTTAATTGGTAGGGATACCAAATATTTTAGCACATGAGTGTATTATACAAACGATTCTGTTGGTCATGAGTGAGTCATCACAATAGTAGGAAATGACAATATTTACAATAAGTTGTATCAAGGACAGTTCACAGCTATTTTTAATTGTGTTCAGTTGTGTTCAAGAGAGTGAGGTGCTGGTCAGCCTTGGCACACAAATCCTTGGGCTTTTAATGGTTTTGTAAAGTGATGTAGGAACATCACAGAGAGAGAACATGCCCTGAAAATGTTGGTATTTAAAGAAGGAACAGTACTGAGATTCAGTTTTTTTAATTCTTGTGAGAAAAGGGTATTTATTGGCCAGGCTTTTTGCCTGCTGTACCCCATTCTGAAATGTCATACTCTCACTCTCGCTGACTTGTTAGGCATGCACAAGCAATTTTCTCTACAGTCCACATGTTTCACAATGCAGCTGAAGCACTGAAATTGGGCTGTCGTAATTTTGAGAAGTTAAAAACACAGCCTAGACTCTTATTTTCATACCATTAGCAAGTTTTAACTCTCAATTCCTTAGGTAATACATACTTGTACACATTAGTTTTGCTCAGGCACAGCTGTAAAAGAACATACACATCCACAGACTTTGGTCATTTATGCTTCATCACTTTTTGTTTTTGTTTTGACAAATCACCCAGTGATTTTAGTATTGTTGGTGTTTTTCTACTTTGTCTCTCAGTCCTCTGCATTGTTACAGGGTCCAGCCCTACATGTTTCTGTATACCAGACTGCATGTTTCTTAGGCTGCTCTCACCCTGTACTGGTCTTTCTATCAAATGCTTATTACGGGTCTCAGAGTGGCTTCTCCTTCTTGGGACCTCTCTGTCTGCACAAGGCATTAATGCAGCCATCTCCTGCATCTGCTTCCCAGGTCCCACGTCCTCTTTCTGGTACTTACTGGGAGAATACCCCTGAGCTCTGGGAGATCCCTGTTCAGGTACCCGGACTCCTGTCCTACTGGGCGTGCGAGGCAGAGAGGAGCTCCGTGTGACAGTCCTGCCGGGTCGCACCCCCCTCCCCTCGCGACCCACACCTGGCAAACTGAGCTCCTCTCCCAGCAACCTCAGCTTCATCTCGTAGCTCCCTCTGGAGGATCCCACCAGATAGATGGTGTCCCCCCGTTGCTTGACAAGCACAGAGTAGACTTCTGCCAGCACTGGAATACTCTTAGCGATTGCAGCCCGCTGATCATGGTCACATGAGGACAGGTGTACCTCCTGCGTGCGCAGAGATTGGCCGACCAGAGACAGGAAGCTGGACAGCTCATCACAGGCACTCTTCAAGGTGCTCTGAAGAGTTCTCTGTGTGCCCCTCTCAGCCTCATAAAAAGCAGGGAGCAGCGTTACAGTGCTCAATTCAGAGCCTTCTCCTTGCACATTCATTCTTAAAGAATGTTTCTTCAAGATCTCTTGCACATCCACACTCTTGAATCTTTGGGCATAGCGGATTACGTGTGTGTCGATGACGAAGGATGTCTGAGGGTGGGCACTGGAACGAGGGGAGTGACTCTGGGAAGAAGAGGCGCTGAAGGAGAGGTCAGCCCTGTGCCTTGGGGTGCTGGCATCACTGCGGAAAGACTCTAACCACTCATGGGATGAGTCCCCAGACCTGCTAGGGGAGGGGTAAGTGAAAGAGGAAGATTCAAAGGAGCCAGACAACACTGCAGTGGCAGCAGGACTACGCAGAGACTCACGGCTGGGGATTGTGCTTCCAGTAAATGGAGGGCTTCTACTGTGATGAGTCCCACCTATGTCCACAGCTCCATTTTGCTTTAAAAGCATGGTGGATTCCTGAGAAACCTTGGTTTTGGACCCAGCAGCGTACCCATTGATGTGGAGCGTTCCTAAATACTCCTGCTCTTTCAGGGGGTAGTGATGATGAGGGGGGCCACGCACACGGGCAGGGGGTGCAGTGAGCAGCAGTTCTTGCAGCTGAGTCCGTAACACACTCAGGCCTAGGAAGGTCCCTTGCAGGTGCAGTTGCCCAGGGCTGCCATGTGTCACTCTGAAACGATGTCGCTGAAGCAACTCCCATACAGAACTTTGGTCTGGAAACATCTGGAGATCTAGATTTGTCTCTGCTGGAATGTCAATCTGTACATAATAGGAAACAGAAGTACAGCTTAGTGTTATGTATTGGTAAACTAGTGCATTTTGAAATAAGAATAGAAGACAATTTTTCATGCAATGTGTCAAAGAAGTGTTTAATCTGATTCACTGGCTTCTTTCAATTAAGGGCCAGAGGCGATTATTAGATTAGACCAATTAGCTTCTAACTCCCACATGGCCTCCTCCTGTTTGTAACTTTATGTTTTAACAATTTACATCCTTCAGTTTCTCAAAGTGTCCATGAACTTAGCCACTTTTTCACTCTCTTTACTCTTTCTGACCCGTTTCTTCCTTTACTGTTCTCATCACTGCCACCATGTGTTGAATTCAGTATGTTGGAAGCAATTATTTTTAGTTTTCCGTTGAGGATATAAATATCAAATATCAAAATAAGCTATCCTGAACAGGAGGCAAACACTCCACACCACAGATAAAGAGGAAAATTTCCAATAGAAGGTGTGTAATCCATATTTTAATAGATGTCCCAGTCGCACAGAAGAAAACAGCCACCCACTGAAAATCTGGAAAATCTTGGCTGTCTAAAAACTGGAAAACCAGCAGACTAAAGCCCTGAAAAAAATGTAATGTTGGATATAACTCAGTAAAGAAAGCTGTGATGGAATGAAAATTCCATAAATATAACTATATGTCTGTTGAGAACTGAAAACGTTCAGCACTGTTTTACAGAACAGGTCATTCTTAGTTGACCATTTAGACAAAAGTACTGAACCAATAGAAACACCCCCATAATACTGATGCCCTTCAGGACAGACTTGTTTCTGCACAACCCACTGAAAGCCCAGAGATCCAGTGTTGGTGCTCTACAACTCTGTGGAGAACAGGATTGTGACCTCCTGGTTGGCAGAGCTCACCTCTAGTTTCTTGAGCTCCAAGGGGAACCTCTGTCCCTCCAGCTCCAGGACATGGTCCCGCTGTAAAACACGATCAGCCACTAAGAAGGAGAAACAGAAAGAAAAGGATCGTTCCAGCTAGTGCAGAGGCAATGTCACAGGAATCAGATGTCCCTTGAGTCCTTACTCTTAAGAAGTCATCACTTAATACATCTTTATTACTGTACAAAGTCACCTTTCATGAAGAGAATTTGAAGCTCTTCACAAATTCATCAGGGATTGGACTTCAAACCAGGACATTACGGGCTCAAATTCAGAGTGTTTCCCTTGAGTAAGGTACTTTGCTCAATTTGCAGACAGAAATTTCTTGTCATATAAATGGATATTCACCAGACTTTTCAGAAAATGGGAATTTATGTACAGTATTCACTTTAAAATGTAACTTTTATTTACAATTCATTACATATCTTATCTGTATTATACCATTATACAAATTATACTGTTTTAATCCATTATTTAATCAATTGAGAACAAAGTTCACTTCAGTATGTGCTTTTTAAATCTATATCCCATTCACAATTTCACAAGGCAAGATCAACTCCATTCCAATTAGCCCCATTTAAGTGTATTTATGTATTCATGTCCCCACTCCACATTGTATTGGAGATAATTTTGTTGACATCAGCAATAAAAATATTAATATTAATAATTAATTCTTGCACTTTTCTTTCCATTCACATGCTGACATGCAGCAGCTACAGGTAACTGCCAAAATAAAGGAAACACCAACATAGTGTCTTACAAGGGACTTGGGGCCCTTCTGGAGTTTGACCAGAACAGCTTTAGTTCACCTTGGTATAGATTATACAAGTGTCTGGAACTCTACTGGAGAGATGCAACACCATTCTTCCATTAGAAATTCCATAATTTGGTGTTTTGTTGATGGTGGTGAAAAACAATGACTCAGGGCTGCTCCAGAACCTCTCATAAGTGTTCAATTTGAGTCGAAATATGATGGCTCAGTGACCACTCATGCCCTGTGCATAGGGGAACCGTCATACTGGAAGATTCCACTCCCATCAGGACAGAAATGCTTCACCATGATCATTCAGAATGGCTTTGTATTTCCTGGCATTTACCTTGGCCTCTAAGGGATTGAATGGGCCTAAACCACGCTAGGAAATTGCACCCTTCACCTTCGGAAACAAGCATTAGAGCCTGTAGGCTTCTCTTTGCATGCTCCACACGTCCTCATCCACTTGTTGAGAACAGGGTCTGACCATATGACTTCCTTCTGACTCAGCTCACAACTGCCTGTGTTCTCTGCACCACTTTATTCACAAAAGTGATTTTTTAGGCACAATAAGGTGTTTATGCACTGCAATCTGACCATAGTATTCCAAGACTGTGAAGTTTGACAGACTGTACTTGATGAGACTGCCTGCTCACACCTTAGATTGACATGTGCAGTCAACCGATTCAGAGAGGCTCATCTGTTTTGTGTTGTACCTCAAACTAACGGACATCACAGTCGAGGAGTATGCTCTTTCTTCCAGTTGCCCCTAGATGATGATGTGTTTCCCTAAGAAGTCCCTCCCAACATCACCTCAGCTATTGTTCCTTGTGAACCATCAGCAAGTGGAGCAGTCTTCTTAATAGAAGCTCCTGCCAAACATACCTCGGCAATCACCCCTCTCAAAGTCACTGAGATCTTTTCTTCTAGCCAATGCAGCCAAAATAATGGGCAACTGATCCTAAGCATGACGGGATGTTAAGTGCATAATTAACTCAGGAACAACACCAGTATGGAAACACCTTCCTTCAATATACTTTGTTTCCCCCATTTACTCAAGTGTTTGCTATATTCCAGCAGTTACCTGTACTATGAGCCAACAGTCTAACTACACAACAACAGTAAAGAAGGAAATTTTAGGGAGATCAGATTTTGAGCAGCTGGAACACTTTATCTGAAACCCTGAGGTTAATACCCCTCCTCATACAAACAGTGGCATAGGGTCTATAAAGCCAAAGTAATCAGGACATTGATTTAACATCTCATCTGAAGTACAGCCCTACCTACAGCACAAATGTCACCTAGTAGGTTAAGCAAGCACTGGTTTCACATTTATGGTCAAGAAGGAAGATTACCACCTACAGGTCCCAAAACACTACCCTGACCAGGCCCAGCATAACTGAGCATCAGGATCAGGCTACAGAGGTGGTAATGCTGCTTGCAACATACGACCATATTCCGTTTATGGCTAACCAGGGCAGCACGATGGTGCAGTGGTTAGCGTGGCTCTCTTTCAGCGCTGGGGCCCTGGGTTCAACTCTTGACCTGGAGTGCTATCTATGTGAAGTTTATATGTTCTCCGAGTGTTCACATGGCTTACTTTTGGGTGCTCCAATTTCCTCCCACAGTCCAAAAAAATATACTGGTAGTTTAATTAGCTTCTGAGAAAACTGGCCCTGGTGTGAGTGAGGGAATGACTGCATCTGTCTGCCCTGCAATGGACTGGTGTCCCATCCAGGGTGTACCCCACCTTGCATCCATTGGTCACTGACCATATGCTGCTTCCATATACTCAATACTGTTTACAGAGAAAAAAGAGTTTAAAGAGAAGGTAATCAGTGACCACTCCAACCCACCTTCTTCCCTGTTTGAGCTCCTTCCCTTGAGAAGATTAAGATGTGTCAAATACAGAACAGAGACATTCTACAAGAGCACCTGCCCCAAGGCTATTCGGCCTCTTAATTCAACACTGCTATAAAAGTATTTATTAAACTATTTATTGGTAAATCTGTGGCTTGTAATGCAGCCTTATATTGGTTTTTGTATACAATACAATATATGTGTTATTTATGATTGTATGCATCTTTTTTGCATCTCTTATTTTGAGCAAGCACAAAAAATTATTAACAGCCCAAAGGGCTGGCTTGGCAATAAAGTTGACTTTGATTTTAGATTAAAACCATTAATCATCACAATAGATTCACATGACTAAGGGAGACCTTAAGCAAAGGATAAAGTAATAAGTTTGTTCCTGGAAAGTCTACAATACTATTGGATTCAGCATGCCAAAACATAAATCTGCTCAATTAAAGGGTCTTAAAAATGTTGCACTTGGTTGGAGTCATAGGAAGCTTAATAATAATATTAATAATACTAATAATAAACTTTATTTTATATACCGCCTTTAAAGGTGGCTTCTCAAAGCGCTTTACAGGATGAAAATAACAATAAATTAGAAGAATACAACAATAAATAAGAAGAATACACAAGATAAGACACAATTACAATATATAGATGAGACCATGGATGGTGATACTAAGAAGAGCAGAGGGGTGAAGAATGGAACCAGTTAAATAAAGGCTTTTCTGAAGAAGAGGGTTCTGAGTCTGGATTTGAAAGAGTTTAGAGAAGGTGACTCTCTGATATCTTTGGGCAGAGAGTTCCAGAGCTTGGGGGCAGAACAGGAGAAGGCCCTGTCACCCATACAGTGTAGACGGGGTTGGGGGACAGTAAGGAGAGCAGAATTGGAAGAGCGGAGGTTGCGAGGTGGGGAGTAGGGCAACAATAGTTCCATCAGGTACTGAGGTGCCAAGCCATGCAGAGCCTTATAGGTGAGCATGAGGATTTTAAAGTCTACACAGAATTTGACCAGAAGCCAGTGCAAGGACTCCAGGATAGGATTAATGTGAGCACTTGCACTAGACCTGGTCAGGATTCTAGCTGCTGAATTTTGGACATTCTGCATTTTGTTCAGAGTAGATTTAGATACCCCGGCGAGTAGAGCATTACAGTAGTCAATTTGAGAGAATACAAATGTGTTGATCAGCTTTTCAGCCATAGTTAATGATAGCATAGGGCGTAGTCTAGCGATATTTCTAAGGTGAAAAAAATATGTTTTGACAGTATGCTGCACATGTGGGTCGAATGTTAAGCCAGAATCTAATATAACCCTTAATGGAAAAGAACAGAAATAAGGAGCATTGAAGAATCTGCACTGTGTACAAAATAGCTCTTCAGTGAAGTTTGATCATTGTCGTAAAGACAAAATGTACCTTCCAGGAGTTCAAAAGTCACCAGTGCCTGTCCTGGGGTGCTCATAGGGAACTTTACTCCCAGCACTTCTCCTCCCCCATTCCTTGGCCGCAGGAAGTGAATCATCAACTTATCAGTCATGCGGTCAGCAGGGAGGATGCTGGGAACCTTGAAGACCTGGATGGTCGTGAACTCTGAAGCCATGGACTGCCTACACAGAAAGCATAGTTATTTAAACACTGCCCCCTAGTGACAAAGTTCAAGATGTTTGGCAGGACAGCAGTGCACAAATTTTGTTAAAGCACTGATACCTGTTCATGCACAATGGAACAGTCAAGCAATAGTTATAATGTGTTGCCAAGTACAGCTCAGAGATATTAAATGAAGCCTAAAGACAGAACATGGTGCTATAGTATAGTATAGGTATAGTCTCACAACAAAACAACTCCAAGACAGTAAGATCCAATCCTTCACCCTCTCCCTGCAGCACCACAACCCTCATCCGTCAAACTTTCCTGACCTGACCACATGAACCCCTCAAAACTTACTCCAGAGTCAAAACACTGACTCTAGTGACCACGCTGGGGGCTTTCTTTTGGGGCATGCAGCATAACATACGTAGCATACTGTCTGGGGCACACATCTTAACATTTTACTAGTAGATATGAATGCTCACAGTATGACTCTCAAATTTACCAAGTTTTCTTATTAGAATATGAAATCCATTTTTAACTCGAAAACTTACAAAAAGCAATTTCCTTTCAGATTGTACAATCAGAGCGGAAGACGCGCTCTCTTGCACAGTTTCTCTAGGAGTCGGTCTGACTCATACGAGTCTGTGCTTAAACAAGCAAGTTCCTCACAAAACTTTACAACCTCCGAAACACAATGGAATCAGAATTTTTACAATAGCTGTTTTCTTTTCTCATTTAAACCTTTCTCATTCGTTGCCTACTACTAACGATTTAAATGCCATTATTCCAAATTATTCCATATTTTAATATAGCGCCCTTCACTCCAAGATTGCAGTTGGCGTATTTACATAATTTAAATACTTGACTTGAAGAAAAATCGGAAACAATCCACACTCAAGTTACGGTATGCACAAAAGCACGTTTAAAAAATGTGAATTGTCAATGCAATTTTACAAAGGTAAATAACGAACTAAGTCACCAAATTCCGACCCCTATAGGCCGGCCACTACGTCATACGAGCGTTGTTAAAATTATATTAGTTATACTATACACTAATAAGAACAGAATTATATACTAATATTAATTATGTATTTAAGCAAATGTACAGAATTCACAAAAGGGCAGCGCAGTGCTCCGCTGTAACTGAGAGAGACTCGTGGTTTGTTTCCCAACAGGAAACAAGTCACCGAGAACTCGCTCGGCAGATCTTACAGCTAAAAAACAGAGCCCAAATAAAAAATAACAGCTTAAAAAAGCACGGAACATTGGCACACAATCTGTTATACTGTATGTACATAAGAACAGGTTTAAACTAGAGAAGAATGAAAATGAAGAAAATATACATACTCCACGATTACACGGGAACAACAAAACCTCAGAGTCAATGCGGATGCGTTACTTTTAGTCTGTTATACTTTTAGTTTCTATTCTCCACAATACCGTGGCTTCTTTAGTACAATTCATGTACATTTTAAAGAGAGATCTCGCTGATTTCCACGCACAACATACTTCTGAACTCCATTTGTTTGTCAAAGCCTATTGCCCCTTCGCCGCTCACGCAGAAGCGAAAGTAAAAACGATTTCAACGCCCGTCATCAGCGAGCTTTCACTTAGCTCCAAGGACCCGTACTGAGCAACGAAATAGTTTTCATTTAGTCTTCGAGACGAACAGCTCCCCGCCCGTGCAGTTGTTTTTCTAAGAACTCTACAGACAACATATAGTCTACAACTACAATTGGTCCTGCCATACAAATCACTACACAATGTACAAGCCACTCCGCTCAAGAATTTATATTAACCCAAAATGCAGTTTTCAATGCACCTCTAGTATTAAATCGTACTCCAGCACAGGACCATAAACGCTGCTAACCAGATGATATCGTAGTTTCCTTCGATACAAGCTACATTAAGAAAGTCCCAACACTGGAGATAACGGCATGGTTTTAAATATTAGCAACTCCTGTACTCTCCATGAATCCTATAATCTGCTCAATCAAGGCAACTCTGGTCTTTTGGGGGTATATAGATTTTAGTCCCAATCTTCAATACTTAAATTGACTTAACACAAAAGAAAGCAGAAAGCAGCCCAGATTAAGAACCCCCAAGGAAAGGGCTGGAGATATCCAATAACCTTAATTGTTCTGAATAACCACAGAATCAGCCTGGTTTCAGACAGATTACTGCTCATTACTTAACCACTTAATTTCCACCTCACAGCCCAGATCCTTTTTCATTGTTGAACCAACGCCCATAAGGACATTGAATACTTCACCTTACAAATACACACTGTACTTGTTCTTCAAACACAAGGTTTTAAAGAATTTAAACCAGTGTACCTTAAATAGTGTACCTAAGTGTATTTAAAAAAATGAACACGTGGATTCCTCTCTTCCTCAGTTGCTCACCTGACAGACACAGCATGTTGTGCATAACTAAAAGTTACAGAGGAGACCAAAGGTGGAATAAGGTGCATGTGACGGTGTACCCCACGGATTAGTGTTCCTAAAAGCAGGAAAACGGAGGAACCCCTATAATTCCAGACTCAACTGCAGTGCGATTTCCAGCTGTTCTTTGTGGCATATTTTCCCAATTTATCTCCATATTACAGTTTATCCACACTAAGCAGAAACCCATTAAAATCTGCAATCGGTAAATTTCCTCAAATTATGTACCTCCAAGGCACAGGATTGACCCTTGTCAGAGTCCCCCAACATTTCAGCAGTTTTCCTTGAGGCTTAATAGAATAATTTTGAAAACTCATTAACCAGTTTTACCTGCCTTTTAATTTGTCCATTTTCTTAAGATGTGTTTGACAGGATCCTGTTTTTATTGCATGGTAAAAACACTAAACTAGAAATCCATGTTTTGAACCTTACTGTTAATTTAAAATGCTTCTCAGTAAGCCCATGGACCCAGCAAACACACATTGCAAGACGAACAAACACCAAAACACTTGTTAGCATTGCCTTTATTCAAACATTACAACAGTGCATCAACGAGAAGCTCTGCTCTCCCTGCCAGCCCACTCCAGAGATGCTGCCACCTACAGGAGAAAAAGAAAAGGTCTGGTCAGTGTCCCGTTCTCACAGGGGACTTGCCCCCAAGATCTGAACCACCACCCACAGGGTAAACACTCAAATCTGCGGAAATATCCCCTCAACCAAGAGGATGAGCGAAAGAAAAAACAGGAAAAGCTACTTAACTTCATTAGCCATAGAAAAAGCTTTAAATGGATGTTTTTTCTTACAGTTGGTAGCAAATATGACAAAAATCCAGTAACCTGCTAAACTCACCATATTCTATTAGTTATATACACTGCAAGGCCCGAGTAAATTCACTAAAAAATACAAGATAATGAATATAACTCCAAGTAAAACCTTCACATTGACAGAACCTTGCCCACACCAGGAAAGCTAGTGCTGGCTTGCAGATTGGATCACAATGATTGTGTGAGGTTTCTATAACCTTGTCATGATGAAGACACACCAAGGCCTCAAACCACCCCAGGTCTCTTT